CCGTGATGAAACTTTAAAGTTACTGTACTGTATATTTCTTATATATTTCTAATATTTTTTTAAGAAACAGTGTGAGCTTATTTACCTATTAGAGTACAGAATGGAGATTTATCATATGCATTATTGCTGCTGTTTTAAAGAAAAGTTTTTCACTTTTCAAAGCTTGTCTACAAATTTTTTGCTTCTTATTTCTTATCATGAGATTGATGATATAGAGGTAAAATAATACAATAATATTCTAATTTCTAAAAAGCTTTTAAGCTTCTAGCATAAAAGTACACTATAGGTATGTAATTCATTTGGTTTTATTGCCTTGCTATGACATATCTAGTTGCACTTCATCATTCTTGTATGAACAAAACAGCAGATGTGGATACTCAGAGAACAAAATGCACTACCAACTGCTTATGAAATTTATTATTGAGGTGAAAACTGTGTTAATCATTCAAATTATAGTGCACTTTTATTGCAAATATAGGAAAAACAAAACAAAGTGAAAAAGAAAGGTAGAAGTATTAAAACTACAAATGAATTATAAACACCATTGGAAGCATAAGTGTTTTGATGATTATTTGCATTTTGCCCAATTCATATATCAGTACAACAAAATCAAAATGTGCTACAACTTTACAAGTATTTGATGCACTTGCACTTCAGAACATCACAAAAAGGTTACTTAAAGTAATTTCTATACAATATTGTTTGTTTTCATTTACCAAACCTATGCAGACTTGAGTCTTTTTTGAAATTTCATATTTAACTCAATTACAGAAAATCCGTAAATATCCAGAGATTTAATATGTACTTTTTTAAAGAAACAAGTAAAAATCCTACAATTGTGGCGAAAAAAGCCATTGCCCATTGCATGAAAAGAAGCAAAATAACAATGATAACAAATAAGCTAACTTCTCTCTCGTGAACCGTGGAGATGAACTAAGATATACTTTTTTGTATTGACTAAAGAGTTTAATCTATCAAACAAGTTTGACGCTGGTAAGAAAACGACGCACATCTGCATTCATACATGTGTAGCCGACATATAGGTCTTTCGTCGATAGTTATAAATGCATCCTCGTAGGAGCAAATAACTGACAACCACAGTTGACTCGCTGTTATGAATTTAAGGTTTTTAGCTTGATTTTCATCAAAAAATTGCTTGCCGAATCCCAAATACACACATACATTTTCCTCACTCTTTCCTCAGGAGAGAGTGGGAAATTGGGAAATTTTCGGAAAAGCGGTCAATTTCGGTAAATCTTAGCGGCAAAGGACGAAATCCGCCATTTTTTTGGCATCATCAGATATCTAAGGCCGCGCTTGAGATAGCCGCTCCAGTTATTATAGAACTCAATGGTTTTGACCACCAAAATCCGCCATTACCGCATGTTTTTGACCACGGGGTCCAGGCCCCTTTGTCCCTCCAGGTTTTATAGAGCTCAATGAATCCGCCATTACTAATAGAGCTCAATGAATCCCCAATGAGCTGCATAACAACCATTGAGTTCTATAATAACTGGAGCGGCTATCTCAAGCGCGGCCTTAGATATCTGATGATGCCAAAAAAATGGCGGATTTCGTCCGTTGCCGCTAAGATTTACCGAAATTGACCGCTTTTCCGAAAATTTCACAATTTCCCACTCCCTTCTGAAGAAAGAGTGAGGAAAATGTATGTGTGTATTTGGGATTCGGCTAGCAATTTTTTGTTGAAAATCACGATAAAAACCTACAATTCGTAACAGCGAGTCAACTGTGCTTGCTTTCCAGTCATCGGCTCCTGCGAGGAAAGCTATTAACTATAAACTATGTACGAAAAAACTCTTTGAACGTTTTTAAACATCGTGTCTAATGTACATGTGCACGATGTGGACGATGTGGTCTCTTTTCAAGGTAAGGAGAAAGTCTTAGAGCCATGTCCAGCCGAAAATTTAAAAAAGATAGTAAAAAACAAATTCTGAAGAAACAAGATATCTTGAGATGAAAAAATGTGAATGAAAACAAAACGCGAAGTGAACTGTAAATTTTCGATTTATTTCAAAGTCATCCTCAGACAGAATGATAATCCAAACCATGCATACACATATATATTTACAACAGGGGCGGATCTAGAGTATGTCAAATCCGTCGCGCGACTGATGTTTGAAATTCAAAAATTACCTATTCATATTAATTAAAAATTCATTAATTATTCTTATTTTCTTATCGCATTTACTTCGTGATAAAAATCCCGCATTATTTATTATTGAAAACTAATGACTAATCCAATGAATATCTCGTTGGTAACCAGATCAGTTGAATTTTAATTGACCTGGAATAACCGACTGATAAGCGGGGTGGCTTGACTGGTTCGACGGATAAAGGAGTCTATGAACGTCAAAAACGCTTATTTTATTGGTCAATAGCCAGATCAGTGGACAGTCTGGAATGGTCTTGACTGATAATAAGGGTGGCCGGACGTATAAGGGAGTCCAATTGCTATCTTACAATTGGTTCATTTGAATTTTTGCTTTATTGTGATTGGTTTGACGGATTTCGACTGATAGCCAACTGAACTAACATAGTCAAGCTCACTGTCTGAATTGAATGTTTGATCGTTTTATAGTAATTTTTATAAGCATGATAGAAACTAAACTACAATCAGATGGAATTTATGGAAATCTTTTACAAATTCATATATTGACATGAATGCTGCTGTCCAAAATGTGAATTTTTTCAAGAGGGTGGAAATTTATGGATAAATTTTAAATGCTTGGCAAAGACGATCTCGCGAGCGACATTTCAGTCATTGATGTTCAAAAGCAAGCCAACATTGTTTTGAGTTTTATCAGCAGAAATTTACATCCAAAATCGTAAGTAAAGGACAAGTTAAGTGTATGCATGAATGTAATATATCAAAGTCAATTATGCGAGTGTGTGATGCGATTTATGTCAATATGGCGTATGGTAAGCAGATTGATGCTTCTAAAATTGTTGTTGCCAAAGGACTTTTAGCTATGATTTCTTTAGTGCTTGGGGAATCGTGGCCGTTATACAGCAGCGAAATCCTACATTCCTGCAAATATATTTCAATGGACAAAAAATCTGTAGCCATAAGGCGCCATACTATTATTTACTTTATCATAAACAAATGTTTGGGGTTTTTCAGTTTATGATCATTGATCATTCAATCATTGGACAGTTATACTACATATTGTTTAAGATTTGAGAAAATTAACATTGATTACATGAGAAGCTGTTTACTATAACATGTGATTTTGAGTCTTCTGATCCATGAAGCTTTTTATTTTGACAATTCGACTGAAATGGTATTAAACCTGAGTATTTCACATACATGGAATGTTGTCCCATGTCACATATTGTCCCCTTTTCTAACTGAACACCTCATGTAGAGATGTAAAGGTCTGTCAATCTACGGCTCATACCAGATTGTTTGCCATAAATTCCAAAGGGCTATTGATGTATGAAAAGCATTTTCTATAAAGTAAAAATGCCTTTCTATGTATGCAGATAAACCTTGAAATTTGGCAAAACAGCAAAGTATTTTTCATGATCACTAGGTAAATTTTCTGATGATCATTATAATTTCTAAACTAAATTATTTCTGATTTACATTTAAACAAGCTTTGATCATATGAAAAGATATTTATCATAACCAGTAAGCATGACACATGAACCAATTTTAACATTCATGTAATTATATAATTAAAGACATGTTGGTTACATTCTGTTTGTATTTGCAAATACAATGCTACTAGTGATTGCTATATAGCACACCTTGCATATACTTACAGGAGATAATAGTCTAGTGAAATGCCTAATAAACATTTATGGCATTAAGCTGTCTTAACTGCAAATTTTCACTCTGATAATTTTTCCTTAACCTTTGGCAGAAAAAAATTTTGAGTTTTTTCTCAAAAGGTGAATTTGCTGGCACTGATGTGGAGATGGGTAAAGGGTTACAATAAACTTGCATGGTTTGAAGTCTGAGCTTTTCTATATCTATGAACTGTCACTTGCAGTACCAAATTTCTAACTTAACTAAATTCATTACATAGAGGTTTGAATGGGGGTCTCTAGGGGGGTCTATGCCTGACAACTTGGTAGAAATTTTTAAAGACTATATCTGTTTTTAAATAGCATTATTGTAAAATAAATTTTACGTTCCTAGACATGCTAATGAGCCATATATTTGGCATGATAATGAGCCTAAATATTTGGCAAAACATTCAAGTATTGTTCACTTCATTTTTTTTTTTGAAAAAAACGTAAGCAAAATGTTTTGTTTTTACGCAAAAACGCTGAAAATGGCATTTTCAAGGCTCTGAAATTCAAAATTTCTCAGGGGAGAATGCCTCAGACCCCCCCAGGTGCGTAGCGCCTTCGACGTTTTATGACTGATGTTTGAAAAATCCTAGATCCGCCCCTGATTTACAATGAATGAATTAAGTAACGAAAGTCAAGCAATAGAAATTAAATAGTTTGATATTTACGAAAGCGGAGTTGGAAGAGCTGTCATATTTTAAAAGGATGAATTGAAACAAGAGACCAGACTGGTGGAATGAGTGTATTGTAATTTAAGACAAGAGTTGTAATTCTTTGCTAGCCTTAAGTCCCGTGTTAACAAACCATTTCTTAATATATGTGTATGCATGGTTTGGATTATCATTCTGTCTGTGGATGACTTTGAAATAAATCGAAAATTTACAGTTCACTTCGCGTTTTGTTTTCATTCACATTTTTTCATCTCAAGATATCTTGTTTCTTCAGAATTTGTTTTTTACTTAACTCTTAAAGAGTACTCTATAGTCATATTTAGGTCAATGTGGTAATGTATGTTAGTGCAATCAGACTAAGTTACACAACATATTTGCAATAAGAATTTTCTTTTAATGAAGTTTTGAGAAAAAAACAATATATAATCTTTTTGTATTTCTGATAAAGATAACTAAATGACAAAAATAACAAATATTTAAAATTTATTTTCTCGTAAGGTGTATTGTACAGTTGCTGCAATTGTTCAGCACGTTTTTGACTGGTAGGTTTGCTTCTTTACAGTGCTTGGCAACATGGCCCAATCTTTTGCATATGTAGCAACGTCTTCCTGTTAAATATTTATAAGGAAGTTGTAGTTCATGACACTTTTTATTTATTTGTGTCATTAGCTTATTTCTGTTAACAATAATGCATGCAACTTGAAGTTTTCAACCATCTAATCAAGCTGATGTTTTATCAATAGGTCAATCAAACTTACTTCTTCTCATACGATTAAACTCTATACAAAAAAAAAGTATATAATTGTCAATTACAATGGTCATGAAAGAAATGTTATTTCATTTTTTGTCATTACTTTTCTCGCATTCATTCATTTTGTGGCCTTTGTGGCCACAATTATAGCATCTTCCTTCATTAAAAAAAAAACAATGGCAATTATCAGCCTGGCATCAAAGGCAATTAGTACATGTATACACTATACCACACCTTTAAATGAATTTTTTGCTTTGGCATTGCTTTCTACATAAACAAATCATTTGTTAGGTGCTGTTTGATTTGTTATGTGTATGATTAAATTTCAGGTTAAAAGACTCATGGTGAAAAGACTCATGGTGAAAAGACTCATGGTGAAAGACTCAGGTGAAAAGACTCAGGTTAAAAGATTCAGGTGAAAAGACTCATGGTGAAAGACTCAAGTGAAAAGACCAAAGTATCATGAGAGAGTTGATGGGCATATATCATATATGAACGAGAACAGTATTGTATACAAAGCACTGTTTACCTTCTTTATTTTTTTGGTTTTCAGAATTGGAGCCACCTCAAATAGTAGTAGATTTTTAGCACATTTTGATGCATTGATGTATTGTGTAATAATGCAAAAAACAATCATTAAACAGTATAACCATTTTTGGCTAAATACACACTTGCATTTTCGTTATTTTTCTCTTCAGTTCCCTGACCTGTTTTGAATGCAATTGAACTATTTGAGTGATTTTCAGTTTTCAAAACAAAAACAAATTTTATACACATTTGATACCAGTGTCCATTGCTTTTTCCTCATCTGTATAATCTAGCATCTGGTGTTTTGTATGCAAAAACGATAAAGTGTAAATAGATATTTTGCAAGAAGGGATTTAAACCATGTAAATGAATCACTTTTGTTTACTTCCATGCTGAAAGCTTTTATGAAGCTTTTCAGATCAGAAATTATTAAATTATTGATCTGTACTAACCTCTTTTCATCCATGGACCACAATAGAAAGTTGGCAAATACAATAAAAACAAGAAATAAGCAAAGGAAAATTCAGACAAGTTTTAAAATATTTATAGTATTTAAAAAAAGCGGAAAAAATGCAAATGACAAACGCCAATGCTGTATTCTGATTGGTTAACAAATCAAACTTTTTTTTAACTATGAAGAACTAAATATTGCATTGAATTTTAAAGTTTTTTATAGTTTGTAAGAGATGATTCCCATGATAATATACATGGAAATTTAGCGTGCACAAATCGTAAATTGCTGTATCAGTAACGTTGAAACAGGGGTGTAAATCCTGGAGAGGGGATTGATATGTGGTGGCTCAGCCTCTCCCCTTCAAAAAGTTAGCAGTTTTGTTGAGCAAAGCATGTAATTTTTCGGAAATTAAAACGGCAAATATTAGCGATGACGTTTGGATCAACTCATAACTAAGTAAAAAGCGATTTTGCTGGTATTAACAAACAAAATTACACTACGTTATTGCTGGGCAAATCAAATTCTGCAACGTTTCCCCTCTCCATTCTCGGGACTCAAGTCACACCCCTGCATTCAAGTAACATTCTTCTAAATTTTTTTTCAAGTTATTCGAAGTTTAACCATTGGCTTTTTACAAGTCAAGAAACTATATAAACAATGTGAACTCATTGAACTATAGGGTACAAAAAAATGTTAAAGATAAAATGTTACGCATCACGAACGTTGTTCAAGGACTTCCGCATTCAGATCATCCCGGCAATATTCATAATGTCACCTGTAAGTTAAACACGTGCGTTTAATATTGAGTAGCGTTTATTTTTAAAAGAACGTTAATAATGCATTTATCAATTGACAGACTGGTTTAATTTTGAAAAAAGCACTTACTACAACGCTCGATCTGATTGAAAGTGTTATCAATGTTAGGACCACAAAATAGTTTTCTTATGTCGTCCAATTGGGCTGTTTTGTTGAGTATTTTTTTCTCTATAAAAAATAGTTCAAAATGAATATTGTGCTATTGTTGTTCTATATTGTACTATGTTGTAGAGGAATACTCACATAGAAGACTTGCATTTCGAATTACTTTTCATTCTTTTAATTGTTTAGTTACGTAAACTAGGTTATAATTTCATGTTACATTTTAAGCCTCGAACACAAATGTGCAGGCACCATTAAATTTCTCCTCGAAACACATATTGCTATGTGCCAGGACGCCTACAGCCTCAAAAATGGAATAGTCAAATGAAAATTCCATTTCTAGGCACAGGCAAAGCCTCGAAAACACAATAGTGTCAGGCAACGTTCAATCTACTGATGATTGAACAACACAAGCTTAGACAGCTTTTTACGAATTTTCTGACCATGCAACTTATCGTTTTGCGTTTTGGTCAAGTGATGCATTCTTATTTTCACAAATGCCTCAGCACAACACTTTATCAGTTTATAAGCATGATTATCTGTAACTGTCGACTCTAACACATGCTCATCTAACATGCTAAAACTTTTTCTCTACACACACAGATAATACCGTCGCAGCAATTGCACTCGATATGTTTGCTGCTGCATGTGGCAAGCCACCATGGCAGGAATTTACCATCCTCATTACATTTCTCTGTTTCCTGACACACTTTCAGAAGATCGTCAGTTGGTATTTTTAAACCACCGTTGCTCTTCCATTCCACAAATAGTTCTGGTGCTCTTTCTTTAGATGATGTCAGAGCATCCATACAATCATCACAATGGATCTTCCTTTTCACCATTTTGCGACATACCCAGCAATATACGATATTGCTGCCTCCTTGTAGTCTGAAAGCTGAATGTAGTTTGAGGTGTCGCTGTAATCGTGGTCAGTTTGTTCTGGCCCACGCAGTTCTAGATCGTATCTTCTTGCAGTATTTACATCGGAAATATCTGCCGACATTTGTTCACTCTCACACCGATCTTCTAGTCTACTTAGAATTTCGGTACCATCCTGAGCAACACAATTTCCATGACCTCCTTTAATGTTATGTCGCATCAACAGCTGCTTGTACGCTTCTTTGAACTGTCGAGATGTCGGGTTGTTGTTCCAACCTCCTGACGCTCGCACAGCTGAAAAAAACAATTCTAAATGATCTTGACTTGTCTTATAAGTAAGCAAATATTTAAGGGGAGAATTTTCACTTATAACAAGATCCTCAGCAAGCCCTTGCACTGCTTCAATGCACAACAGAAACCCCAAGAATTCTGTTTTCCTCTTATGGGAAAAAATCGACTTTCCATCAGCACCATTCAGATTTAAGACGTATTGCCTTGCTTCATCCAAGAAGGTTTTTATCAGCTTGTAATTCGCTTTCTTTATTGGTGCTTTGTAATTTTTAGCAATTGGATTCCTGGAATTCAAAACGTCAAACAAGCGATCAAATACTCGAATGAATTTGACTGTTTTATCACACCCTTTAAACTGTGGAAGTTTGAGCTTACCTTCACAGAACTCTAAAGCATCTGCAACACTCGAGCTGAGTGCTTGCACTGCTAAATTTAACTTCATTTTCTGTGGCTTCCAGTTTATGTGAGCTTTCTTTAGTTTGTTGGCAAGTCGCAAGCCTTCTGAGGCTTGCAGTTTTTCTAGCTCAACTAAGTATTGCCATCTTACCAAACCATCTTTTTCATCCTTCAGAGTTCTCAATTCAGAAATTGCTCCTCTGACAAGCTTGATCATATGACAAGGATCTAAAATGCATAAATTTTCAACATTAAATCAGATGGATGTAAAAATATGCTTGGAAATCATTAAGTGAAAGTTTCACTCCAAGCAACTTCATCATTGCAAGATGTGTGGATGGACCATCACACGTTAAACTTCCAACTTTAACACCAACATCATGCAACTGCATCAAACACTCCTTGGTTAAATTTGCTTTTACTTCTGCAGTGAGGCCATCTACCAAGAAGTAACCAACTGGTACTTTCAAGATGAATCTAGAGCAACAGCCATGTATACCAAAACTTCTGTTGCTTCAGGGAGTGAATCATCGTCAATCCCAGTACCAAGGTCAACATAACCACAAACTTTTTGACCATCCCATTCTACGTGTTTGCGGATTGACATTTCATCCAGCATCAATGCACATATGACTTCCTTGCCATCTTTCTTTGATTCTTGAACCTTCACTTTCAAAGCATTCAAGGCATCCTTGGTGAAACCAGGATCACCATCCACGGAATTATACCAAGATCGAATTACTCTTGGATGAGGTAAGGCTAAATTAAACTTCTCACGAACATAATCATAAGCCTTAGGCGAGTAAAATTTCAAAGTTAGTGCAAAAGCTTGCAATTCTGGGGGGTATTGAGCACCTTTTTTACCCTGAGTGTTTGCCACTAAACGACTCAAAATATCTTCAGGAACCCCAGATAGTGAAGCATTAAGAAGTTCAGCTTGATCAGAGCTGATCATTTTATCATCTTTAAGGCAATCAATGATTGACAATAAATCATTTACCTTCTTTTTCACTCTACTTTTTTCCATATTAGACACTTTTAACCTCTTTCTATAAGACTCTGCCCGTTCTATAACATCTTCCAATTGTCTTTTCAGTCTCCTGGGAGACTTAAGACAATACGAGTGATCATGAGTAGAGAAATGACCACTCACCTTTTCAGTGCTCTTCGTACATTCAACATCCTGCACCTGTTGAAATAATGTGGGCACGGCACTATCTTCTAGACACACTTTGTTACCTGATATTCTCTTCATGCTATCGGAAAAATGATCTGAGCAAACTCTGCTCCACTTAGTTAGAACTGTGAGAGGCGACCATTTCTTTATACTATTTACCCATTCCAAAAAAAGTGCAGGGTTTTTTTCTTCGTCAGGAAAACTATTTGAAATAGATTAGTAAATTTATTGTTTCATGCGTTGATTCAACAAATAAATAAACAAATTTGTTGAATTTTTTAAAAAACACACAGGAAAACATCAGTGTATGCAGTATTTAAGACAATGTTTTTTCATAAGGCCTAACAGATTTTGGGGCTTTCAATTGTATAAATGCCGATTCAATCTTTCAGGAACAAACAAAATAAGCGAATAACTCACCTGTGAAAAGCGATGTGCTTCGCGTTGTCAATATTACGACATTCTACAATTGAACATCGATTAGGCATTTTTGAAAAAAATATTGTTTTGGCCTTGAAAAATATTGTCTATTTATCATACAGCTTGCAATTGCATTTGAAATTTTCAACTGAAGGTGGGAAAATTAATAACATCAATCCGGGGGAGGTCGAGAATATTATTTTTTTGCAAAGCGATCATTTCAGCGGAAATACGTCCGTTGGCCGCCATTTTTTGGCATCCTCGCCCCAGTAAAGTTAGCCCCTCCAGTTATTATAGAACTCAATGATAACAACTGGAAGGCTAACTTGGACGCCATCTTTGAAGCCTGCATGAGCGCCGCCATTGAAGGTACCGAGGCGAAATACATCACTTCGAAATTGCCAGGTTTTTTGCAAAAAACAGTGGTCTTCAAGCCAGCTTAATGTCTAAAAATCTTAAACAATGTTTGGACTTTAATATAAAACAAGTTTGAACGACATTTGTACATGTTTAAGCTTCTTTTTAGAAGGATGAAAAGCGAACTTTGTTTTGGCACGTGAAAACATGCCTTATAACTTGAATACAAAACTGACACCCCTCGTTTTTTTTCATTAAAAGGATGTAAAATGCACTTGTCTAGCCTTATAATATTGTTTCAATCTGTGAAAATGAAGCTGTCAGGGCAAAAACGCTGTTTTTCGATAATTTTTGTGTTTCCGAGCAAAATTAGCTCGCCCCAGTCCTTTTTGAAAGTTCAGAGCATAAACAAAAAGAAAAACACTTTGCAAAATGTTTCAAAAAGTTAGCAAAAAAATATTTTGAGTTAGTTTTAAAAAAAACTGTTATGCCATATTATTGTGTTATTATTAATTGCACCATTAAAGAGTCAAAAGGGTCAATACTCACTTAAAAAAAAGACAAAAACACAATTGACACTCCATATTCATAACTTTTGAAACACTTAAGTAAAAATTGTACTGTAATACAAGTATGAAAACGATTATTAGTCTAATATTATAGAATCATATATTTTCACAAATATGACCAAACATTTTAAACACACATCCTAAAATTTAATATATTACATATACATTTATCATCATCTGTATTACAAAAAAAACTAATTTTACAATCAATATGATAGACTATAAAATTTTGATACAGGATATAGCTTTGCTTGCTTTATAATCATTTTAAAACTCTGTTTCAAACCACTGAGGATGAGGGTTGCTTTTTAGCATTTATGTAGAGCAGGTTATATTAGCAATACTTGTCATGTTGTACACTTGGCTATTTATTTATAAGCATGAACTTGCTAATAAAATGCTCAATACACAAATATGGATGCATGTCAAATCTTCCACCAGTTCTTAAGAAGTGGGAGAAGTAAATGACAAAAACCAACAATCACCCCACAGCTCAAAATTTCAAATCATCACTATCACACATTACAAAAAGAGCATGTGAAATTCTTACAAAGCAAGTCTAACTTTAAAAGCAATAAAATTGTTATGAAACATGTTATGTTAAGTGGATTGTGTGTATTTTGCACAGCATTAAAAGATACAGACTACCTGTTATCAGTTTTATCTTAAATTTTTGGTCTTTCGACGACAAATGAGAAATTCATATTTCGAAGCAAGTTCTCCCTTTTATGTTTTATACAATACAGCGTTACGTATACAAAACATGTCTTGGAACGTCCACAATGCATCTTAACACATTAATAACCAAATTTTGGTAACGGTTTTGAAAAAAATAAAGCATTTAGGCTAGCATTCTATTTCCAAGTTAGCAGTTTTTGCAATACAATCCGTCACGCAAACAAACAGTCCACGCGAGATGCACGCGAAGCGGCAAATCAGCTTCTAAGTGGCTTCAAACAAGTCTAGGTTTGTTTATAATGAGTTAGCCTCAGTGAGTTCTATAATAACTGGAGGAGAAACGTCAACAAAATTAGTATAAATTATTAGCGCGCGGCCGCGTGGTCAAAAACATTGCGGATTTTGGTGGTCAAAGTCAGCGGAGAGACGCGGGCTCATGAAATAAAATTTTTGTCGCCCACCCTGATTTCACCACCACAATTGCGAGTATAGAAAATATCAAAACTATTTATTTTCCTAATATAAACACTTTTTTAAAATTTATTTATTAAATTGCCAACTTCTGTGGTTTGCGGATGCTGAAATATCGACAGAAAAGGAAACATTTCATGACTCCGGTAAGTAGCACAGTATTAGTTTTACTATTTTGTTTTTAACACGATACTTGAAGAGTGTTTCTACTACTAAGTTTTAATTTAAAGTTATTTTGGTCCAGTCTTGTTTGTTCTTCACTTAATCGCTCGCCAGACGTGGCGAAGCTGTCAATTTTTATCGAGTTTTTCATCCATCTTGTATCATGATCAAGGCATCAGGCTAAACTCTCCTGATTTGGATTGAGTTTACCTCCCAAAAATGGGGCATAATTTGTTCATGTTTTTTTTGAAAAGATGAAGGGAAAGTTTACAACAGAGTTGTGTTGAAATTGAATGCAGTGCCATGCAAAATTAATGAGAACTATGGTATATGTTGTATAATAAAAATAACTATTAAACTGTTTGACTGACTGTATAGTGTAGACAATTATAATGGATTGGAAAGTTGGATTTATGCAAACAATTTTAAAGTACTACTTAGCGTTTCTGTAAATGAAATATTTATTGTTATAGTAAACAGGTTACTACTTCAAAACCAAGATAAAAGTAGTGTGTTGAACAATGTGCTAAGATTTGTTTCTACCTTGAAATTTTTGTTCAACAGTAGCTTATGATTATATCATTAATATGCATGAAAAATTAAACATATTATTGTCTCATCTCACCAAATCCATACTTGGTATGATTCCAGGTGATCCACAAATTCACATTGGATACATTGGTTACAATAAAGTTGAATGTAAAAGAAGCAAAAAGAGATGGCAAAGAAATTCTTTGTGTCTTATGAAGAACTAGTAGAAATCAATAAAGAATTCTTTAAACAAATTGTAAACAAATTTAAATTTGCTCATGGTCAAGCAACCTAGTCAAAGAAGCAAAGTCTGTCTTCAACATGTGACCTTTCCAATTATGTTTAGTTTCTTTGTACAGAATACTACTTTCGAGAAACTTGATTTGTAAGTCTTTCGTTAATATTTTTTTTACCAAGAGATAAAAGGAACTAATTCAAAGGCTTGATGTAAAATACAAAGATTTAACAAGTTGTTTATCATTTAATTCCCAAATGTTAGTTTGTACATATAAAAATTAGTATTGGTAGCTCTAAGTTGTTTAAGCAAAACAGAAGTGTAGTAGTGCTCGAAGGGGTTAGGATTTTTGAAAAATTATATCTTGTTCATGACATATATTACACAATTCCAAAAAACTGTAAGTAATGCACAATAATATCTATAGAACTTGATAAATTTCTTCGCCTACACTGTCAAATCACTATTTTGCCTTCCTGCAGCAATAGACAGTGTTTTGGTCAGAGAAACCAATGCACTTTAGTTTCCAAGTTTGTAATTTCAATGGAAAATTAATGTTCTGTTCAGTAATAGATCCAAGATTCTGCCAAGCTGTTTACAAAATACAAATTATCAAGCAACAGTATCATGGTGTTTTGAATTTTTTTCTTTTTTGTAGCTCTTCTAGTTCAACATACTTTCTTTATGAGTTTTCAGTAGATTTATCAGGTAATAACAATACACTTATGATACTTATCCATGGTAAATTTTCAGTTGACTTATGTCGTAGGACTGAAGCAAACATTTTCTCGCTTCCTTAGGAGCATTTTAACACAGATTTATCCATTTGAGCAAGAAAAATAGTTGCACCAAACTGTTTACAAACAGTCAAACACACAGAAGCATGAAATAATGTATAAGTTTGACGAGATTGACAGGTCTACTAATGCCGTTTGATTTTCACTTTTAAAAGGTTAAAATGTCATAAAATAACTTAAATGTTACAGCCAAAATATGCGTTTCTCTACCGTCGATTTTCTTTATTTTCATGTGTGTGTACTGTGTTTTCACGCAATGCTGAAGCATTATTTTCACATGATGCTGTCGGTATCGTAATTGTTTTTTTTTTCACTTGTTATCGTTCATATAAACAGTATTGGAAATCAGGAGGGAGTGAATATTGAAAAACATTTTCAAAGTGGAAGTTTTGACCACCAAAATCCGCCATTACCGCCATGTTTTTGACCACGGGGTCCAGGCCCCTTTGCCCCTCCAGGTTTTATAGAGCTCAATGGTTAGCCTTCCAGTTGTTGTAGAGTTCATTGTTACCGCCATGTTTTTGACCACGGGGTCCAGGCATTGAGCTCTATAAGACCTGGAGGGCAAAGGGGCCTGAACCCATAGATATAGTAGGTCTAGATCGCTGACGAGTGTGACGTCATATAAGACTTATTAAGACGGCAGCGTGACATTCATGATAAATCCAAGATGGCGCGGGAACCGGGCAAAAAACTTTGGACTAGTATGAGGCAATTGTTGTTTTTTGCAGTTTACTTCGTTTCAGTGTTTTCAAACTCCTCCAATCAAGTTTTATTGGAAACAAAGCGTTATTAAAAATGTTTTGAAGCCATATTAGACAATTATTATTGGAATACAGGCGAAAATATCGCTTGCGAAGTGTTGTGTAAATTGGTCGTTTGGTTGTCTCGAGGCGTTTGTCTACCAAACTAAACGGATTTCGTCTGCTTTAGTTCCCATAATTGTTCGTCCACATTGAAATACATGATATTGAATACATACAAAAAGATGCGAAAATTAATCTTCATCGAAGGGCTTCATCTGCTGCTTTTACTACTTTTTCCAATGAGGAGGATGGACTTGTAAGCTTGCCATAGGTCTTGAAAGATGTTAAGCTTGACTTTAATGAACCTTCATGACAGTATGAGTGGTCAGGTATGAGAGGTTGGTCATCATTCTCTATGGTTAAGGCAGTTGCACATTCAGCACACTTGATGCAACTTGTAATTTTCTAGGCTATGTATCCACTGATATAGGTCTGTACATCATCATGCCAAAGAGTGGAACTGTTTAATAATGCTGCAACTCTCCTATCAACATTTTGTGTCTCTTCAGCTAGCTTGCTTTCACTTACAACAGAGCAGTTGGCAGTTGCTGGGACTGTCATGTATTGAACAAAGAAATATCAGTAGTTTACTTATCCTTGTACGTAAGTGTCATAAAATGAACCAACTGAGCAGTATGATACAATTTTTGTCAGAAGTCATTAGTTGCATGTTAATAATGTGATGCAATTTAGACATTTGCAGTTATAAAATTGTATTGCCATTGGAAACAACTGGTATCATAGATGGTGTTGTAGCTATAGCATAATAAAAACATATACTATAACTAAGTATGATAAGCATAAAAGTCACATATGTTTTATTCACAGCTATATCTTATAATAATCTCAGTCATAGCCAGCATTTTTATTTGCTCATGCTATCTCAATCTTGCTGTGTTCACTCACTGTAAAAACAATAGATTTCTAATGAAATGAGCAATGATGCAGTGAAATTTACATAGCAAGTGTAAAACATTCATTCTGGATATGCCACCGATGACATCCATATCAAATATTTCATAAGATAATATATAAATTTAATGAACACCTTAGCTCTGGTAAAAAAATACTTTATACAGAGCTTTATAACTCTCTCTCAAAAAATAGTATTGTAACAGTATCTTGGGTTATGTGTTTGAATGTAATTATGTCAGATTTTGAAATAACCACTGTTAATATAACAAGCTTCTGAACATAAGTTCCTTCTCTTTCGTTGAACCACTTAGCTGTAAGATCTCATCAGTATAGCCAATGCTCCTGGATACAATTACTTGAGATGAGGTAAGTTTCCTTCAGTTAAGTTTACTAACTTTAATAGCTTCACTAAGATCTTGTCAGTAGATAATAGTGCTGCAGTGTTATGTATCTCCTTGCTCCTCTTTTCATTCATTCAAAGTCGGATGGCCTTTCTAAACCGTGTTTGAATCTCACATATCAGTACGAGTACAATGGGAGTGCTGTCTCGAATAAGTCGCTTTTTTGTCAGAAATATTCAGATTGATTCCCCAATCTTTCTGTAAATTGTCAATATGACATATTCCGATGCGCAACAAATCAGTATGGGAGTTAAAGCTGAAAAAATCTGTTTCTCTTAGTGGACAAACGACTTGAGACAACATAACGACCAATTTACACAATATTTCGAAAGCGATATTTTCACCCGTATTTCAATTATAACTGTCCAATATGGTTTCAAAACACTTGAAATAAAGATTTGTTTCCAATAAAACTTCATCGGAAGAGTTTGAAAACAATGAGAAGAAGTAAATTGCGAAAAACATCAATTGCCCTATAGTGACTCTATGTTTTTTGCCCGGTTCCCACGCCATCTTGGATTTATCATGGATGTCACGCAATATGGCGGCTCGTCAGTAATCTAGACCTACTATATCTATGCCTGAACCCCGTGGTCAAAAACATGGCGGTAATGGCGGATTTTGGTTGTCAAAACTTCCACTTTGAGAAAAATTTTTAACATTCGCTCCCTCCCGAATCTGGAACTGTATTACTGCTTATATCAATGACAACCAGCGAAAACAACCACGATACCGTAAGCATAAAATATTGAAAATAATGCTTCAGGTTTTTGTGAAATAGACACACACATTTAAATGAGGTAAATCTACTGTAAAATAACGTATGTTTTGTCAAGTAATGCTTTAGCTATGTTAGAAATAAATATCAAACGGCATTCTTTACACTGTCAATGTGTCGTTAAGCTTTAATGCATAATCCCATGCGCAATACTTGTGTTTTTGACTATTTTTTAACAGCTTCGTGCAACTGTCTTTGTTGAATAGATGGGTAAATATTAGTTAAAATGTCCAAAAAGGAGTTAGAAAAAGTTAGCTTACCCCTACGACTTAAGTCGACTGGAAATATATTATAGGTAGGTATGTATTTTTTTTTTGAGTTTTTTTTGGTAGGATTGATTCTGGGTGTCTTATAAGGTATTATGATATTCTGATAAATCTACTGAGAGCTTATGAAGAAAATATCTCGAACTAGGAGAGCAAAAGAACGAAATTCAGAAATTCTATAATCATGTTGCTGGTTCTGTTTTGAGCCAAGATATTAGTAACTGGATTGTCATTGACAACCATGGATCAACTATTGAACAGAACTACATTAATTTCCCATTGAAAATACGATTTTTTAAATTAAAGTGCATTGGTTTCTCTGACAGCACTTTTCTTATTGCTGCATGAAGGCAAACCTGTTTAAATAATTATAATGTAGGTGAAGATATTTAGCATGTTGTATAATTGTTATTATACAGACATTATTTATAATATTATGGCCTTGTGTAATGTATGTCAAGAACTTATTAACTCTCAAAAATGCTAACCTTCTTGCACTACTTTTCTCTTGTGTCCTTACAAATTACAGTTACCTATACTAATTTTTTCTAGGTTCAAACAACTTGACAAATTTTTGAATTTTACATTATGCCATGGAATTTTTGTTTTTGTCTTTTGGTAAAAATATCAGTAAATGACTTAAAAATCAAGTTTATCTAAAATAGTATTTTGTACAAAATAACTATACATAATTGGAAAAGTCTCATGTTGAAGGCCGATGTGGCTTCTTTTACTAGATTGCTACTCTTATTCTTTTAAATGATATCGTAATTCTTCAAAAGACATAAAAAGTTCTTTGTCATCAATTTTTGCTTCTTCCACATTCAATTTCATTGCAAACCAATGCATCTTATGTGAATTTTTAATCACCTGGAATTGAAAAACATATGGACTTTGTCAGATGATGCAGTACTGTATTTAATGTTTCATGCATGTCATGATAAGCTTTGCTTGAGCAAATATTTCAAGGTAGGAGCAAAATTTGGCACATTATTGAACAAAGTAGTTTTTATCTTGATTTTGATGTACTAACCTGTTTACTACACTGTGTAACAAACAATTCATTTACAGAAACACCAGATGGCATTCATAAAACTTTTAGCATAAAGCAAACCATTACACACCATCATCATGATTGTCCATAATCTGTCAAATTGTCCAGGCTAGCTGTTTAATACAGGTATTTTTTATTGTACGACATGTACCAAAGAGCTCATTAATTAATCTTGCACTGCATTTGATTTCAATACAGCTCTGTCCTTAATATTTGCTTCATATTTTCAGAAAAATATCATGAAAAAATCCTCCATTTCAACTCAGTTGAAACAAGGAGTTTTAAGATATGCATATCTCGATAAGAACTGGTTGCTTTGCCTCGTCCAGCAAGCGATTAAGTAAAGAACAAATAAGACTGGATATACATAACTTAAATTATAAGTTAGAAGTAAAAACATTCACAAAATATATACCATCACACTTCAAGTATTGACTTAAAACAAAACACTGAACACTTTAAATGGTAAACAATCTTACGTTGCTTACCTGTATCATGAAATGTTTCCTTTTCTGGCATTACTTCAGCATCCGTCTACCAAACAAGTTTGCAACATGTTTTAAAGATAAAATTTCTAAAAGTTTTTGTGTTTGGCATTGATATTTTATATAATCGCTATTGTGGTTGTCAAATCCGGGTGGGCGAAAAAAATTTCATTTTATGAGCCCGCGTCTTTCCGCTGACTTTGACAACCAAAATCCGCCATGTTTTTTGACCACGCGGCCGCGCGCTAATAATTGGGATTTACTATTTGTACAGCAGTTCATGTCGTGACGTCACTTGTGCCGATTGCGTAATAACACGAAAACTACATTTGAGAGATCATATGGAGAGATGGATCGATGACACTTCAGCTGTTCGTGGAATATGCGTGTATGAGTATGAGTGGGTGAACAAATCTCTAAACAATGTATCTTAATTTTTAAATACACTGTGTTTACAATGTATCTTAATTTTAAAATACACTGTTTAGATAACTTTTATATCTTTTTTTAAATAAACATGTATATTTAGCGATAAATTAGTAATTATCGACAGAGGATTTGCTCAGAAATCGTTCGAAATACAAGAATTATAATGTTGACAAAAGTGATTTGACTCGTTCTCGCATGGCTGATATCTCGGCATGATCGAATGATTGGCGAAAATCAGGAATTTTCATCAACATCTCTCAGTCAATGGTTCCTAGAAAATGGTGAGTAGAAAGTAAAATGTGTTAAGATAATTAGTAGAGTTTTGCCATATATAAAACAACAAACATGATTAATAAAGCTACAGGTAGTTGTGTATGTCATTGTTCAAATAACTAAGATAAGTCTTAGATTATTAACTGTGCATGGTGTGCATGGAGTTACCTTAATTAACATCTCTGCAAATTTCATGACATAAACTCCACAGTCAACTGAGTTTGGTTGCTGTGGTACCTAAAACATGTGAGATCGAAAAAGATGTTTATGGATGAGGGTTTACAACTATATATATATATATTTCATATATTTGTATATATGAAATATATATATATATATATATATATATATAGATATATATATATATATATATATTATTATGGATAATATTCCTGGATAAAAGAGCGCTCAATATTCTATATATTAGAAGAGCGTAAGATAAACATATATACAAATATGATTCAATATTATCCCCTGAAGAGTGAGAAATCACGAAACAGGCTTGTCGGGATGAAATTGTAGTTTTTGTGTATTTTCTTCTTCTCATCAATATATATATACATATATATATTTCTTTGGGTACCTTACAAATTGACTTACCAATGGGTAAACAACCCGATTGCTCCTAAAATCATGTTCAAGTTTTTTTCGGGCTGCCCATTCAACGTTTAGGTATCTAAAGTCAAGAAATGTGTTGATAATATTAAAAATATATATAAAAATATTGTGTGGATATGTTAAAACACTCAATACCTTGATGCTACAGGTTGTTCCTTAACAGTTTCATTTGTTTTGTGCTCGATACCAGAGTAGAGCAAAATGTAGTGACAAACTTGGGTTACTTCATACGACTTTAACAAATTTGTAGTCAATATGAAGTCTTATGAAGTAACCCAGGTTTGTCTTTATATATGTATACAAACATGCATGTTTCAGCGTTCTACGTCTTGTCAGTGAAAATTGGTACATGTAGATACATGAATGGTCACTGGATCCCATACATCTGCTCTCTATATAATAAATATATATAAAATTTACATATATATTATATATATATTATATATATATATATTTATTATATATAATTCAGTTTACAAATTAACATTAAATAAATATATGTATATTTATTTAGCTATTATGCAAAGCTCACTTTCCTGATGGATGTTTGAGCACCCTGGCTCCATTAACTCTCTCTTGTAATATATATGTGAATATATATAAATATATATTATATATTATTTAAATTTATATATTTATATATATATATATATATATATATATATATATATATATATATAATTCAATTTACCTCATTATAATATCTGTAGTATGACGGTGATGTACTGTCACCAATCCTGGTCTTGTTGGACAGTTCATAGAATCAAACACTACTATTGTTGTGCTAAAGTAAAAAGTGACAATCATTTTGTATTTCAGATTTAAAAATTCTGTTTGTACAGCAGTTCATGTTATGACGTTACTAGTGTTGTTTGTCACTAATTTAGGGTTCGTATTGTGAAAAACTAAGTATATGGTAGTATGGGTATGAGGTGCATGATATTAAAAAATAAGGAAGGTTTTGGTATTGTGTGGATATGTTAAAACACTCAATACCTTGATGCTACAGGTTGTTCCTTAACAGTTTCATTTGTTTTGTTAAATAGCACTATAAGAATCCAGTGCAGCCTTAAAAAAAAGTTAAAAACCCATCACATATTTTGCATGCATGTAATATACACAAAATACAATTTCATTCGATATTGATGAACAATAATTGTTTACAACATTACCCTTTGTTGACAGGTATTAGAACTATGTTCTTATTCCAGATGGCGACTTTCCTAGTGAATGATTTTGCACACTCCCAAAGTTCCCTGATAGGAATAAGACAAAGCATACATGTACAGTATGTAAAAAGGAGACAAAATGAATTATGGTGAATGCCAGATTAGTAATGACCAGAGTGACCTGAAAAATATTTTATAATTGTATAATTGTTGATATTTTGATTGCAGTTGCATTATTATATATTTAAGTTACAGATACAAATACAACAGATACAAATTGACACACCTGTCATTTCTGGGAACCTTTTTTTCAGCTCCATTTGCTGTTGTGATGGTTTTATGGGTAGATGACCTGAGCTTGGTACAGAAATAGCTTGACAATGCAATGGTGGATTGTTTCACATTTTCATCAGCATATTCAAATTTGAGGTATCTATATAGCAAGAATAATAATTATATTAATTATTAATCTACTGGATTGTTTTCATTGGGAAAAAATCATCAATTAACCCATTAATCCTCTCTCTTTTTACAAGTACTGTACAAGGCAAGTAAAATTTTCTGTAATTATAAAATTAAAATAACAAAGTGGAGTGAATTGCAACTTAGTAATGAGTTATTGATGCCCATAAGCAATTAAAACAAATACTGTACTACACTTCTTGTAACTTTCTTACTGAAGAAAAGCTTCAATAATGAGGTCGCTAACAAGACAGCCTGGATTTAAACATTGAAGTTCAGCTGGAATCAGGAGATTTCTGTACATGTTTCTCCAGTTATCAGATGTGGCATGTAGACATGAGTAGAAATTCTGTTGCTCTTCTTGTTCTCCATCCTCTATCGTTACTACTGGAACATTGACCTTGTACATTTTCTTTAGCATATTTGCCCTTGTACCAACGCGATTTCGATGCCACCAATCCAACCGTTTTTTTCCTGTTTTTTTTCATCTTTGCCATGCAACCGATATTCTTTAACTTTTCCATTTTTCGTTTACTGTTTTCCTTTCTTGACTTTTTTGGAGAAGCACGAATATGTATCCCTTCACTGCTCTTTGGCACAGTGGCACTGATCTTAGAAATAAGGGTCTGCAGCTCTTTCGTCACATCACTCAAAACGTCTGCATCTTGGCTTAGGTAAGTCAGTTCTTTAAGTTGCTGTAATGTAGCCCTTGTTATATTTGCTGCATGTTTTGCAGTATCTCGTACGATTGTCCTTTTTTGTGGAAGTTGTCCCACAGCAACTGGTTGTACATTTTTGCTGTCTTGGCTACTTGACTCGATTTTGTCTGTGTGGGTGCTGGTGTTATTGTCGTCAATTTCCATGTCTTCTGGTTGATCATCATCACATTCCAATTCATTAACATCCTTATCAATCGTGTACAAAGATGATTCTCTGTAGTTTAGTGGCAGGTTATACCAGTCAACACTTGTGTTTTCAAACACTGCAAACATATGCTTACAGGGGCATTTGAATTTTCTCCAGTCAGGGCAGCTGCAAGTGGGAGAGGCTAAATCAACCGAGTAAGTCTGCTTTGAACTCTCTGATGTTACTTGAAATCTTAACTCTCCAAGATCTTGCACGTCCTTCGTTGTGTACACTGCTGACGAATGTATTCTTTGCATGCAATGCTTGATAAATCCATGAGGCCGACCATGCAGAAATTCTGGAATTTCTTTGTTGTAAGCCTTGATGTTCTTATTAAGCTTCAGATTCTTCAGCACGTAGAGTTTGTACTGTTCTGGGCAAAAGCATTCCACAATTACTTTAGCAACACCGCTTAGTGCTATGTCAGTTCCCTTTGAGAGGTAGTTATACTTGAAAACTTTATTTTGTGCTTCAATACCATTATTTGTATTGATCTTAATGTCTATTTTAGGTTCCCTATATGCTCTTGCCCATCGTTTTTCCTCAGGAAACCACGTTCCTTCGAGCCATCTCTGAGCTTGGGCATTATTTTTGTACACATCTGAATCTACAAGCTTCTTTTTTGCTTCTGCAACATTTGTAAATGGAGATTCTGTATTTGAAATCCACGGCGCGTAAGCCATGCTTCTTAAGAGGTGTAGCAACTTCTCTCTATCCTCGGATGTCAGACCATGCTCACTTTTCTTTGTCCATCTTTTCCATGCTTGTTCCCTGTGGAAATCACATAGAAACACTGATGTTCCCACGTCCTGAAAAACTGAAATTCGGAGAAAAAATAAAAAATCAACTAACTACTGTACATATAATGAGGCATGGCATTCTCAATGACTATGCTCTTACTGCAACTTACTCTACGTTCTCGCAATTAGTAAGCCCTCAGCAAGCCATTTAATTCTAAAATAGTTTTTCAGACCCTTGACAATTTATAGTATAGTTTAGCAATGTTGCAACTTACCTGACTCAATGGAATGAATTTCAACAACTGAGAAGTCGGTCATAAAATTTGCTGGCTTCCATTCAGGATTCCACTCCCGCAAGACGTCAAGTGCTTCACTTACTTGCTCTTCCGTTTCATCTTGAACAACAAAATCTCCTAAAAAAAGTGTTGTATATTGCTTAAAAACAATTGGACTTCACAATGCACCGTGCACCAGCAGCAGTCAATTGCCAGCGTAGAGAAGGAAGCAATGGCCATAATTGAAGCTGTCAGGAAGTGGCAACATTTTCTTGCAGGCAGACATTTTACACTCAAAACCGATCAGCAGTCAGTCGCCTTCATGTTTGACAACCGAAGACGCACCAAAGTAAAGAACAATAAAATCCAGGACTGGAGGCTAGAACTAGCCTCTTTTAGCTACACCATAAAATACCGGCCCGGTAAGGATAACGCTGCTCCCGACTCATTCACCCGGGCTTTCACAGCTTCCATACCTGCAGCTAGCCTGCCTTACTGAGATACACGCTGCTCTATGCCACCCAGGTGTCACTCGATTGTTACATTTCATAAGGTCGAAAAACCTCCCTTACTCTACAGAAGAAGTTAAGAGGGTGTGTTCTAGTTGTAGGGTCTGTGCTGAGCTCAAGCCCCAATTTTACAAACCACAGCAAAGAGTCCTCGTCAAGGCTACTCGACCTATGGAGCGACTCAGCGTGGACTTTAAAGGTCCACTACCTACGACTACTAATAATCCCTATATGCTAACAGTCGTGGATGAGTATTCACACTTCCCTTTTACTTTCGCCTGCCCAAACATGAGTTCATCAACCGTTATCAGATGCTTGGATCAATTATTCACTCTGTGTGGGACGCCAGGCTTCATCCATTCAGACCGAGGTGCCTCATTCATGTCCCAGGAACTTAAAGAATACCTCTCTCAGAGAGGCATCGCCACGAGCCGAACTACACCCTACCACCCGATGGGCAATGGCCAAGTAGAACGCTATAACGGTATAGTGTGGAAAGCTATTCGCTTATCTCTCAAGTCAGCAAGCCTGCCGGACAGTAAATGGGAAATGGTACTCCCTGACGCGCTTCATTCAGCAAGGTCTCTCCTCTCCACTGCCACCAACTCAACTCCACATGAGAGATTTTTTGGCTTCCAACGCCGTTCGACACATGGTACTTCACTTCCCACCTGGTTACAGTCCCCCGGACCGGTTCTGCTCCGCCGATATGTGAGAATGACCCACTTGTTGACCAGGTAGAGTTGAAGGAAGCTAACCCTACTTATGCCCATATTAAATATTTGGATGGCAGAGAATCAACGGTATCACTGAGAGATCTGGCATCATGGCCCCCAGCACAAAATCACACCATCCCTGCTACCGTGCCGCCTATTGCAGAGGGAAAGGACCAGGCACATGTTCCGGCTGAGCATCAAGCAGTTGAGAAGGAGAGTATTTCAACTGAATTGGGACAGCAACATGCCCCTCTGAGGCGCTCAGTGCGTGTCGTAAAACCACCAACCCGTTATGGTTTTGAAGACGAATAGACTCTAAACTTTGAACTCATAAGTGTTATTATCAGTTCTGTTTGAGGGAGGGAGAATGTTGTATTATTGTTTTATTGGTATTGGTCTCCCTGTGCCACTATCTGCGGTACTTCAGACCAGCGGTACTCATATATATATAATCCGCCATATTATTGTTTTGTAGTATTTTAAGTAGTGTTTTAAAGTTAAATAAAGCCAGAGAATGGTAAATTACAACAATATACATTGTTAAAAATTTGTTGAGTAAATTTGATTTTTCTTTGTTTAACTCCCACAGTCTCACCTGGTGTTTGTTGTTACAGGATGTTGGAACGATGTAGTCTGGATACACGGTTAACTCCCTAACAGTGATCTGGGCCTTACACCCAAGCTTTTTAGTTGGCTGCATTCGAAATCGTCTTTTTTGGCCAGTTGGATGGCCTTTGATTCCCTATAGTATAGGTTGAAGAGTACTGCAGTTAATGTTAAAAATGATTTGTTCAAAAGTATATTATCTATTATAATTACGTTATAGGTGTGGTTCGAGTTTATAGAGTTTAATATTTCAGGTTTCAAGACTACGTACCTCCTCAGAATCTCTATTTGTCGGCCTGCAGGGTCCATAAATACACTCTAGTAACCGTATTCCATTGATACAAAACGCAGTGCCAAAAAATGGTATGGATAGATCACCAACATTGCTGCTCCATCTCAAACTACCTTTAATAACAACAATTATTACAAAAAATGTTGATAATTTTATTTATAATTATATATTTACAACAACTGATGAGTAACGTGAGTTATGAACAAAATTTATAGTGAGTGAGAAGTGGAACTTTCGTCGAAACAATACAATTTTTCACGTGTAAAATACTACAAGTGCAATACGTATCAGTTTAATTTATGTACCTTCATTTCCATATCGCTTTGCCGAACCTCGTAGCGCAGACAAACGAAGCTTGAAAGATGTCGATCCAGCAACTTCGTATTTTTGTAAA